CTGTACGGTGCACCGATGGAGAAATTGTTCCAGGTTCTCAAGCACAAGTCGGCCGTCTTCATCAACGTGCACATGGTAGTCGCTGGGTTGGTGAACAACTCAATCTGGCTCGTGTACGGCGTCCTTATCACCAATTGGTTCATCATCTTCATCAACGTATTGTTCGTCTCGGCCAACACGTTCACGTTGTGTCTGTACCGAGTCTATGACCCGCGTACACATCCGCTACGAGATGGCTGGGACGCGCACGACCCCGACCAGGAAGAAATCTCCATCTGCGTGGAGCTCACACCTCGTGCAGACACTAAGAAGCCGCTTAATACGAGTCTACACAGCCCCGAGTACGCGTACATGGCGTCGCCAAGGCTCGAGAGTGTCAATGCGAACCAGTCGTAAAACCATCTGTTTTGAAGTGTCCATTTTGCGAACTTAATCAATTTGTACATAAACAAACCAATCTCGGTGGACGTTATTATGTGGTCTACACACTTTACCACACGTCACATATTTGTGCGCTGCAACGATCATTTCGCTCCACCTAATGATCGTTCCTCGACGTACTTGAGGTCATCAAAGGAGACGTGTTTACCCGTCTCAAAGTCCCCATTGACAGCTGCAACAACCCCACGGTGCGACGATTGCTGCGTCGGTACCAACGTCCCTTGTTCCTTCATCTCCACGAACCACTTGGTCAATTCCGGCGCCATAAGCGGCGATGTCCGCATCGTTTGCTGCATTTCTGTGTCCATCGCGCCAGGAGAGTAAGAGAACACCCGTACCTTGTTGCAAGCAGCTTGTTCCGCTGCGAGGACACGGAAGTGCATCTCACGTGCAGCTTTGGCGGTGCAGTACTGACTCAGCGTCGGATACGGCGCAATGGCTGATCTCGACGAAACGTTAAAGATAACCAGCTTAGTCGTGGTATCCGACACTGGTAGTTTCGTTATGTCACGTCTTGAGGCTCCGAAAACGTCGAGGAAGCGCTTATTGAGCCACATAACCGACGACACGTTGAGCTCAAAATGTCGAGCCATTTCGCTCGGAGACGGACACTCCTGAGCGAATCCTAAACCACCGAGTGCTCCTGCGTTGTGTACAAGAAACACGCGGTCGTAAGGCGCTGCTGTGGTCAACTGACCCAGCAAATCGTCGAGTTTCTTGGTGTAGTCGGCACTGTCGCGGAGGTCCACGGGTTGGATGAAAATGTGAAGGTCTTCAGTTTGTTGCAGAGAATCTCGAGCCTCTCGCACTAGTCGCGAAGTCTCCTTAAGACCATTCTCATCTCGAGCCCATAAAAACTATAAAACTGGTTAGTAATGAAGCAGAAGCTTTTTTTGAAATAAAATATTATTTTGTGTTACCAGATCCAAGTCACTCGAGACGAGTTCGCGAGCAAAGTCGAGAGCCAAACAGCGACCAAAACCTCTCGAGGCGCCGGTCACGAGCACCGCAGAATGCATGGGATTCGACAAACGACGTTTAATAGACAAAAAAAGATCTGTGGATCTCAAAAAGATACTTTAAGACCAAATGTAGCCATCTTTACGTTACTTCACGTTGAGAGATGTAGCCATGTTAAATGACTTTAACTTGAAGACAGCAGCTTGTTCGTCTGCTGGGGCTTCCACTTGCCTAGTAGTATCAGACGCTTCTTTACGTCCATGGAGATCTCCACTGCGTCCGGTAACGTCACCATATCGGAGTTTTCTCCAACTTTCTCAGCCGATCTCGTCCTGTTCGCCTTCTTTTGACGAAGGCGCTTCATGACTGGACTCGTTGGTCTTCGCACCTCATCTTCTGAGTCGCTATTTCCACGTGGTCCCACTCCTACATGAGCAGGTAAAACCATCTGACGATCGTGTCGTCTAGCGATGGGCTTGGCAGCATCTTGCCAGGCCAAGGCGTACGTCTGCCAGTAGAAAAATACGGCACTTTTTAGCCGCTGTGAGTAGTAAATTACGGCATTTTCTAGCTGCTGTCGTCTTCGTTGTCGCTCGCGAGTCCAGCGTAGCCAATGGATCAGTAAATTCCTGGCAATGTTACGCTCTCGCTTAAGTAACGCCGCTCCACAGCGACGTCTGCAGTCGACGACGCGCTTCCACGACTGGAAGACGATCTCCTGTATACGTTGACCAGCCACTGACTCGAGCTTGATAATACACGAGAGCAGGACAAAGCGACGTTCACGTTGCTTCTTCACAGCCGCTTGCCACACTCCTAAACTTTGACGTAGCAATGTAGCCATCTCGTGCTCTGCAGCCCGTTCCAGTTGTTCATCTCGTCGTAGCTGACAAGCCAATGTAACGCGGATCCAATACCGCCAAATCTTTTGTAGTAAGTGTTGCTCTGCGTGCATTGCGGCTAGTCGTTTGCCTTGTCGAGTGTTAACCAGTTGCTGCCAGCGTAGGAAAACTTTGCGAGTGGTTTGAATCTCCTTCTTCACCACAAAAGACCCACAAACTTTCCGCCAGTATTGATGCTTCGTTGTAAGTTTCTGCCAAGCTTCAAGCATT